AAATAAAGTTAATACTTTTACAAGTTCCCAAAAAAATATCATTCACCTCTAACATGTGGACTGCTTCAAACGGTACCGCATTTCTTAGTTTAACTATTCATTATATTAATTCTTCTTGGAAACTAAATAGTTTTCTTCTAGACATTATTCCAATGGAAGTATATCATATAGGATCTAATATGGCTAGTGCTATAATGAATGTTCTTCATGAATTTGGATTGATAAAAAACTTTAGCTTTTACTAAAGACAATGCTACATCTATGATTGTCTGTAGTGAATTAATAATAGAAAAGCTTGAAGAAGAATTTAATAATCTTGAATTTTCACATTATAGATGTGTTATCCATATATTAAATCTTGTGGTTAGTCAGGTTTGAACATGTGGATAAATCAATTACGAAAGTAAGAACATTAATATCATATATTAAATCATTGAAACCAACTAGAACTGCTCTAAAAGGCTTTGCAATATAAAAGGAATTTCCTGCTTGGCACCTAAAATCGACACTAAAACCAGGTAGAACTCTACCTATTATATACTAATAAAGTGAAAAAAAATTAGAACTAGCATTAAATTTATTTGCTGCTGATGATAAAAAATTTAAAGAAAAGTATCTAAATAAAGAAGATTTTAATAGTATCAATGTAATATAATCTTTGTCATTTTTTTAAAAAAATGAATATATTACTATTTTATTTATTTATTTTTTATTATTTTTTTTTTAATAAAAAAGAATACAATTATTCTTCTTGAACCGATAGAATAGGCTACCTATTTTTTATCTGCTTCAAACTACCTAACACATAGTGATGTTAGATTTGTTGTTCTTAGTATTTGAGAGCACTTAGCCTGATACAAGAATAATAACAATTTCTTAAAAGTACAAATGGCTAATTCAATGTATTTAAAACTTGAAAACTACTGGATATTACTTGATAAATTATCACAAATCTCAGCATTTCTAGATCTGCAGGTAAAAATATCTGCATTCAAGACTAAAAATAAAAAAAAATAATGTGATTAATTTAGTTTCAGGATTAAATGAATATTTATCTGAAACATTACAGCAAGCAATTGTTACTAATAATTCAACTGATAATAAAGATTATTTTCATAATCTATATTCTTTTGATACATCATTTTCTTCTATATTATATAGTTTGTCTTCGACTAACTTTATACATAAGAAAATCAAAAAATATCTTGCAATACCTTTACTTAGCCATATTGATCACCTATATTGATAGCAAACACAATGTTTTAAGTACCCAATTTTAAGTATTATTGTATGTAATTATTTGTCAATACAAGCAATAAGTGTTGCTTCAGAACAAGCTTTTTCTATCACTAGAAAAACAATTTCAAATGAAAGGTGTAAGCTAGAAGAAAAGACAGCAAGAGCAATTCTTTGTATAAAACATTGAATCTGTAAAGAAATATGCTAATATATAGTCAATACATGTTATTAAACCAATTTTTTTATTAATTTGCTTAAATACAGTAGATTTTTAGCACACAAATATCAACATTTCAAAAAAAATTTAAGCAAAATTTTTTTATTGAGGTATTATTTTCTTTTTGGCTATTACAATACAACAGAAAAGTTCATAAAATAAAAAATATATTTCTATTCACTATGCTATATGTTTGAACAAAACAAGTGTTAATTGTAAATATAAATGTGACTTCCAAGATTTGATCGATATAAATAGATTGATTTTATTGGGTTGTGATCATGTGTTATTATTTAAATTTGGAAATCGAAGAATGGATCAGGACTAGACTAAGACTAAACTAAAAATATTAATAGACTGATCCTTTCATGAACTAGAACAGACTGAATCAGACTAATCCATCTCTACTAACAAGGTATATTGCTGCTAGTCTATAACTAAAAAGAAATAAATTTTTAGTATATTAAGAACCTAGAGAAGACTAATAACTATTAAGGCAGGTCATATTTGTGCAAAAGCTAAATAAACTATCTGTTTGGTTAGATTAGCTACAACTATAGATGACAATTTATATAAATTTTTTGAATAGTTTAATTTTAAATAAACAGAAGCAGGATTGCTAAATTATTATAAAAAAAAAAATAGCAGCTCACTTTAAAGTTTCAAATCATTATAGTATTTGACAAAAGTTTTTCTATATTTATATTTCTTTATAAAGAGGTGCTACGATCTTGAAACTTTTAGTAAAGTTAATATATACATAGATTAGATCATATATTTTTTTTGAAGATTTTTTAATTACTAGAAAAGTTTAGATGAGAGCTAAATTTAAGATATTTTTTTTAAAAAATAAAAAAATTAATTGAATTCAAAGAAAAATTAATATATTATTAAAGCTTAAAGTTAAAAATTCTAAAAAATTAGTATATTAAAATTTAATAATTTTTGTAGTAATAATAAAAATTTGATCTGATTTGATAAGATAATTGTTAAGAAATTAATTTTTAAATTTTGAATTTCATTTTTAAAAATTACAAAGTAAAATTTTTTCAATCAAAATTAGTTCAATATCTAGTAATCCAAATTTAATGATTTTGGTATCATTTGAATTATTTCAACAAGACAATTTAAATTATATCAAAATTATTAAATTTGGACTGTTAAATTATGAGATATTTGTAAAAAATATATTGCAATACAAAAAGAACTAGATATCAACAAATCAAACATCGCTAAAAATAAAACTCCAAACTTTAAAAATTAATTTTTCAATAACTATTTTATCAAACTGAGTCAAAATTTTGTTACTATTACAGAAAGTATTGAATTTTAATATACAATTTTTTTTAAATTTTTAACTTTAAGCTTGATGATATATTAATTTTTCTTTAAATTCAATTAATTTTTCACTTTTTTTGAATGAAAAACATCCCAACTTTAGCTTTCATCTAACTTTTTTCTAGTGATTAAAAAATCTTCAAAATAAATATATGATCTAATCTATATATATACTAACTATTTGAAAAGTTTCAAGGTTATAACACCTCTCTATGAAAAAATATAAATGCAGAGAAACTTTTGTCAAGCATTGTATATAAATGAACATCAGAAAACTAATTTTGTGTAATTAAAAATAATAATTGTCGCAGCTGATGCTGAAAACGGCTGAAGCTGAAATTTGGGGTTTTGATTTAAAAATATAAGCCCTGCTAAAATCTACATATACTTGTTAATTATCAATTCTAACCCTAAACACTAACTCAACTATAAAAAAAAAGCAAGAAAAAAGCACTCCAAAAAATTTTTAAAAATTCATATCAAAATAGTCCGAATTTCAGCATCAGCCATTTTCAGCATCAGCTGCGACAATAATTATTAATTGATGTAGATTATACATATCGATGAAATTATTTTAGATTTTGAGATATGAAATTAAAATTTGAAGCCGAAATTGTCTTTGATCTATTTTACTTAAAAGATGAAATTTTTTAACATTTTTTTTGAAGAGATAAAATTATAAGAAACATAACTACCTAAATTAGATTTGCTATTGTATATAAAAAATTTCAAATTGTTTTAATGAAGACGAAATAGGGGTTTTTTGAAAACCTATTTTGGTAGCATGTATAATATAGATCTTAGAGTACATAAATGCAAAGAGTTTAAATAAGTAACTTAAGTAGATAGGTTGCAGATATGATATCTAGTATAAAACCTAATAATAAGCAGATTACTTAAATAAATATACAAAAAACACAAGTATGGTTAGTATATATTTATAATGACTTATTTACACAATAAAATGCACTTGACCAAGATCTTAACACTGAAAAAAATATATAATCAGATTAACAATATTCTATTATAGAACAAAAATCAAGACAAGTTTATTTTTAATTTTTACCTTAACACTATATCTTATAGTAATACTGTATAAACAAGTTATATTTAAATACTACTTAAGTGCCCAGATAAAATTAAAGATTAAGCATCATTTTAAGTAACTAAGTTATACTGCATAATTAGTTAAATAGTGTATTGTTTTAATAAAATACATTTTTTATCTTTTTATTGATAATTGTCACGGCTGGTGCTGAAATCTAGAGCCTCGATTTGAAATATAAGCCCTGCCAGAATCCATATATACTCTTTAATTATCAATTCTATCTCTAAATCCTACCCAACCCTAAAAAAAAGCGGAAAAAAACACCACAAAAATTCATAACAAAATAGGTCCAAATTTATTGTATATTAAACTAAAAATTGTAAAGTCTATATTAGGCTATACAAACTTAATCAATTAGTTCTCATAACCGACCGGGTCAAATTTTACTTTTTTGTTTTACTAAAAAATCTATAAAAATTTTTATATGTTTTTTATATATAAAATTTTTTGAAAATAAAATTAAAGGCCGGGTTGCCGGTTCACTTTTAAAAATTTTATGTTATAAGAACCAATTTATTTTGTATGGCCTTAGGGTCCATCAGTTTAGACCAGACCACATAACATCCCTAAAATACAGTATTTAGAATGTCTGTTATAAAAAAAATATGCATTTTTTTCCCTTTGATCATAAATATAAGAGGTCCGGGTCTTGCATACCTCTAGTTTACAGCATCAATCATAATAGAGACAGGCGTAAAGAATCTGTATATTACCGATTAGAAGCAACCACCAAATAAAAGTAAGCTTCCAGAATTCGGAGTCGAAAATTTGACCAAGGCTGTTGTGTTCTACTAATAAATTGGACCCGAGTATAAGCAACTCCACTCGAAAAATTCTCAATATTTTGTTGGTAACACAGGTATATACATATAGATTGTATTAATTGTTGAGTCTCACGTGTATTTTATTTAAAATTACTAACCCGGAGGCACAGAAAGCTAATATAAATTAATGATAGTAGGTTACAATAAAAAGACGTGTAATTAAATCATTAAGTCATAATATCACACCCAATAGTAGCACAACCGTGTGTAACACCAAGGCCTGGACAAACATATAATTCTCCAAATTTCACAAACGTAACTGCATCTGTTCATGATGGATGATAGGAATAGTGAAAGAGTCCCTCTTCTTCAAATAGGAAGACAAATTGAACAAAAAAGTTGTCGTGATGCATTTTGTTCGTGCTTATGTATCTTCATATTTATTGGAACAATTGTGGTTCTTTCTTTCTCTGGAGGTACACCTGAGTTTGATTTACCGGTAGATATTTCGCAAATCCCAAACGCATATCAACTTCGACCCAACCGATTTGTTTATGTTATTGAATCCCTTCCTGTTGAATTTGAAAGCATAACCAATTATACATCTACTAATGTTACGATAACAAGTTCAATGGATAGTTTTGAACAGGAACCTTTTGATATGCCAACTGGTGTATTTAAAATAGCAGAAATTATTCCAATACCTAAATTTTGGACATATGGATTTTATGAAATTCGTGAATTTCGATACTTGCTCGATGGAAATGCTACTAGGGTATCAACAGTCATTTCAAAATTTGAAGGATTGTGGTCAAGTTCAATCAATATTCAGTTTACTGCAGCAAATAATAAAAGTTTAGATCCGTCATTACTTGAAACTTGTGAATATAAAGTTATTCGAAACTTTTTCTTAGATGGAGTGATTCAACGACGATGCCCGAGCGAGAATGAATTTTATAAAGTTGCTTTGGTTCAAGGTCCATTTCTATCCGAATGGAAGTTTTTGTCTTTGAATAAGAGTGTTGAATTCGGAGGAATATCTAAAATGGATTTTCAGAATTATAAGAGGTTGTATATACGTAGTAATATCATTCGTGCTTTCACTATTTATAAGGTTATTGATCGCAGTGATTATTTTTTTTAGAGATGTTACTGTATACGAGAACGCACCATATCCTCCAATTATTCCGGCAATATATGCAGTATATCGCGATTTGATGGAAAGTGAGTTCAAAACACAAGGAAAAATTAAATATTAGAGCAATAATGAGGAGTGCATAAATATATATTTAATTCTTGTGTGATTGTAGCATAGTTAGTTTATAATTGAATATACCTTGATAACAAAACTCGTACGATATTGTCTTATGCCCAAACCTTAACATTATTCATAAAATTCGTGTATAACATTATTTATTGAAGTGTTTAAAACGTAATTAACGATAATGCAATTATATAAACTAGAAAAACGGCGACGTTTTGTAGGCTGGAGCCCTAATTATTATCACTTTAGAATTAAATAATAGTTGGATTTTATAAATTACTATTGCTTATTATATTTATAATAAATAGTTAGATTTTATAAATTACTATTACTTATTATATTTATAATAAATTCATAATCCTTGTTCTTCTGTTATTCATCGCATTTGCCCTAAGTTTTGTAATCCGTCAAAAGAAAGAAAGGAATCAGTAAGTGTACAAACCTTTAATATACCTACTAGTTCATATATAATATCAACAACCATGCCCATTGTTCCATTTATTAATCCTTGATTCTTTAGTCATTAAATTTTTGTTTTCTTCTAGCTTCATTCCTTGTAACAATTAATAGTGTTGGATCCATACGATTAAGATTGCTATAGGTAATAAAGGCCTGATTCATATAATATCGACTGTACCCATTTTCTCCGTTTACTAATCCTAGCTCTTTAGTCATTAAACTTCGATTTTTCTATAACTTTATTCCTTATAGCAACCTGCTCGGGTATATAAAGTTTTTATTTAAAAAAAAATGCGTAGGTAAGTTTTATTTGATTTAACATACATTACATATTTATAATAATATTTGACGTAGAGTAATTTCTATTTCTAATAGATAAACTATACTTTTATTGAAAAACAGTATATATTTTATTAAAAGTCATTAAATCAAGTTTTCGGTATCCAAACGTTTAACCTAATTTAGGTTCAATTTTTGGATACTGGACTTGAATTAAGATCTGCTGAACCGGGAACCGGACACTTCTATAATTCAGTAGAGTAAGGCTTGATAAGCTTTCACTTCGCTCCCCTCAGTTCCAGCCGATTAACTGTTGACTAACGATCACGACGGACTTGTCATTTTTCTGATTCGTTTTTTCTATACGCTAGCCACTCTTCTTTAGTCATTGGGCTTTTCCGTTTTTTTTCTAGCTTCATTCTTTATAGCTATTTGCTCAAGCATATAGTTTCTTTTGTGTTTTTGCATTTAAAAAATTTACCACATCGAAAATAAGTATATTTTATTTAACGTGTTGGCTTGCGATACAATAACATATTTATGATCGAGTATATATGTTGTGCCTCAGACTAACGCTTGCCTCAGATCACAGCTGACGTACCTCAGATGCAGGTCGTTAGGTGAGGTGCGTAACCTATTGGGGTGTGTGATGCAAGTCTAATTACAAACATAGTGCAGAAGTATAGTGAAAATCATTAATTCACTTTTTTTATAATTGCTGCATGAATATTGATAAGCGTAAATAGTAAAACATATAAAATTCAAATTGTAAAAACTCTTGAACCAGCAGACTCATACAAATAAAATTAAATCTATTGGGTTCATTTTAACGTGCTCTTTAAGGTAACAATGCTTGTTTTTTTTAGCTTCATTGTTTGGAGAATAGCGGAGGACTCTAAGTGATACCAAAATTATCATTTTTGATGTATTTTTAATAAAAATATCAAAAACGTAACTTTGAATTTTCTGTTTGTTGCCATTGTCACAATCTACATAGAAATTTCGAAGTTACATTTTTGATATTTTTATAAAAAATGCATCAAAAATGAGAATTTTGGTATCACTTAGAGTCTTTCGCTATTCTTCAAACAATGAAACTAAAAAAAAAACAAATGTTGTTACTTTAAAGAGCACGTTAAAACGAACCCAATAGATATAATTATATTTGTGCGAGTCTGCTGGTTCAAGAGTTTTTACAATTTGAATTTTATATATGTTTTACTATTTATGGTTTTCGATATTCATGCAGTAATTATAAAAAAATTTACTAATGATCATCACTATTTGACCTGATTGAACCTAGCTGCCATACAAACTTTTCGTAGATTGGGCCCGCATTACATAATTTTGGCTGGAATTAACTTTTTAACTTTTTCATTCCTAAAATGAAAATTTTTAGAGAAGTAGGCTCGTACAATGGTAAAATTAGCCCAGGAACATTTTTTACTTAATGGGCGGCCACGATTTCATTAGTAAAATTTTGAGTAATTTTGGTTTAAATTGTTGATCATTGCTGTTGGCCAATCAAAATTGAGTATTAACTGCATATTTTTTGTGTGGCAGCTAGGTTTAATATTTGACTTGCACTATGTTTGTAAATAGACTTGCACCACACACCACAGTAACCTATCGATTATCTTCTAAGCTGCAATATAATGAACATAAGAGAGTAAAATAAATTGAATAAAAGACCTTTTACTTGAATTCTTTTTATTAGGGTATAGACATTTATCAGGTGATTTCCGCCTCTTAAGAGGGTACCCCCCTCCCCCCACCTGATACTAACTAGCCAATCAAATTTAAGTAAATTTTATATAATCTAATATGTATATAGTATTAGCTGATTTATGAAATTGGTAATAACTTTTGATCTACTGGTCCGTTTTGGATGATTTTACTACCAAAATGTTCGTCTCAGTGAGAGGATTCTAACAAGCTCAAAATCGTTAAAATCTAATCACAGGATCCTGAGATCGTTATGATTTTGTATTATTTTATTAATAATTTTTGGATTACTATTAAAAATATCTTTGACATTAAATAACTTTTGATATACTGATCTGTTTTTGATAATTTTACTACCAAAATGTTCGTCTCAATGAGACGATTCTAACAAGTATAAAATCGTCAAATTCTAATCACTGGATCCTGAGATCGTTAAAGATCAATATATGTATAAACAATAAACTTAGAAATAAATTTATATATACAACTCATTTCTAAATTGATTGTTTACATATATGTTAATCTTTAATGACCTCAGGATCTAGTGATTAGAATTTAATGATTTTATACTCGTTAGAATCATCTCACTGAGACAAACATTTTGGTGGTAAAATCATCAAAAATGAATCAATATATCAAAAGTTATTTAATGTCAAAGATATTTTTAATAGTAATTTAAAAATTACTAATAAAATAACACAAAATCATAATAATCTCAGGATCCTGTAATTGAATTTTAATGATTTTGAGCTTGTTAGAATCCTCTTACTGAGATAAACATTTTGGTGGTAAAATCATCCCAAACGGACTGATAGATCAAAAGTTATTACTAATTCTACAACTTAATTAATATATATTATTAAAAATTTATATTGTTATATTAAACAATTTTGATTGGCTAATAGTACTATATTATATAGCACCTGATAACTCTCTGACCCCCTCCCCTCTAAAAAAATCAGGTGATAAATGTCTATACCCTTATTGGATTTATTCGGCATTTTTCTTATACATTTTTAAATAACTTTGACATCTTTCTTAACTTCAGCTGATGATCTGAATCTGAGGTGCATTAGCTGTAATTAGAGATGTTAAAAGTTCAATTCGGTTTGACTCGACTTTATAAGTTGAGTCTTAATTTAGACTTAGTTTTGTTGCGCCCCCTCTTTCCCCTTCTATAACTAATGGTAGCTAGACTTAAATTAGTTTATAAACAGAAAATTAAGAGGTGTTTGCTACACTTAGGTGGTTATACAAGATACAATAGATAGTTAAAATTATTATTATCATCTTGATACAAATTTGTAACTTATCTTATCATGTATACAGCAAATCAAAATAAAAAAAATAAAAAAAAAAAGACTTAGTTTCGAATCAGATTTGAACCAAGTTTTAATAGTCATATGCAATATTAGATATCATAGAATTATAACAATAATGATAAACAGATAACGATAACTTTATTTAAAAAAAAATTGACTTATAACAGATAATCTATATTCTATTAATAATTTTTGTCTATTCTAAAATTTTTGCTTCTAATTAATTTCTTAAAAGCAACGAAGCTTTGACTATTTGATTTAGTGAATAGTTTCTTGTAGGTTTAATAATTTTCTTTGTTGCAGACAATGCATATTTAGAAGCAATGCTAGTAGTTTGTAGAGAAAAAAAGTCTGTTGCCAGAAGTGCTAAGGTTGAGTATTGGTAAGCACTATTTTTTTACTACATAAGCATGTTAATTTCTGGCTTACTGAATAAAGCAAAGTATTTGTTTAGCTTACTATTAGGTCTTTTTCATCTTTTTCATCAGCCACTATTTGTCAAAAAAATTTTAGAGAATCAATTTAAGGTACTGGATTTGGCTGTTTTAAATTAAATAGTGTAATGATCATACGCATTTTAACAATAGCTAATTTTTGATCATCTTCATTATCAAAGATTTTTAATTTTGTTAACAGATCAAGTAGAATGTATATAGAGAGAGATTTCATAAGGGTCATATATATACTCTCTTAATATGTCTCTCATTGTCTTTGCTGTTTCATTAAGAATATATTTATTAAGGTGTAATAAGAGGCTGCAGATAATTGTTTGTATACCTCTATAAAAAGGTTGTAGATTTTGTGATACAACTAAAATTGCTATGTAAAGAGGTTTAAAGATTTCTAATATTTCTTTAATTATTTTCTACTCAACAAAGTCAAAATAAATTTCTTTAATATCCGAATAGAAATAGGTAAGTTCATTAGTGGTAAGGGGAGCATTATTTATCATCTGATTTTTTACTACTAAGTGGCTACCCTACCTCCACTTGATTATAAATATTGCATTTTGATTGGCTAAAATTTTTTAAAAATTTAAAAAATTTAAAATTTTATTATTAATTAACTTTTAACCAGTGATCCATTTTGAATGAT